ATGATGAAGGTTGAACTCAAAACATGTGAGGATTTCAGTCAATGTCTGTGTTAGAAAATACTATTAATTTGTATTTGGTTTTCTTTCATTTTATGTCACTATTGTCAGCTTTGCTAAAGCCCAAAACCCTCTGGCATCACAGGCAGCAGTAACCTTTTTATTCACTTCAGGAGGTGGCTAAGCACTAAAGGAGGTTTTCTGGCTGTGCTGTGCCATGTGGGCAGAGTGCAGCAGTGTAAATGGCTTAAGTGTCACAGTGCCTGTGCTGCTGATACATAATGTGTTTTTCTATGAGAAGTATGTTGATAGAAAATAAACACAACAGAGGTGAAGGTAAGAGCATATTTTACTTTCATAACAACTAAAACTTAACTAACATAAAGATCTGAAACTGAAAACTCAGCTTGCACTACCCCCACTGGTGGTCATCAGAAATGATTAAGAGGGGGCTGTTTTATTTTCCAGATATCAAATGATGTCAGAAATAGCTGCTTTTTCTGATATGTCCTTTGCCTTGTTTTCTCAGCACTGAAGTACAAAGCATAGCTCTCAAATTTGCCTCCAAGTTGGTTCTCCATCTTCTGCAGAGCCATCAACAGGTAAGGGAAACAAAGCTGTTTAACAGTTTCGCAGTTCTGGAGATTCTGGTGATTGGAGTAATATGGTTTCTTTGAGACAGAAGCCTTAAACTTGTGTTTTCTTGTGTCGTTGCACCTTTTCTGGTATTATGTCTTAGTTTTTGAATACACTGCCACGTTCTCAAATGATATGGACATGAGTATCATTAGTATATTCCTCTCTAGCATCCTGGCCTGTATCAGCACCAGTGTGGCGGCAGGGCCAGGGCAGTGACTGTTCCCCTGTACCGGGCACTGGTGAGGCTGCACCTCGAATCCTGTGTTCAGTTCTGGGCCCCTCACTGCAAGAGAAACATTGAGGTGCTGGAGCGGGGCCGGAGAAGGGCAATGGAGCTGGTGCAGGGCCTGGAGCACAAGTGTGATAGGGAACCGCTGAGGGACCTGGGGCGTTTAGTCTGGAGAAGCCTCGGGGGGACCTTATCACTCACTACAACTGCCTGACAGGAGGATGGAGCCAGGAGGAGGCTGGTCTCTGCTCCCAAGGAGAAAGGGATGGGACAAGGGCTTCAAGCTGCACCAGGGGAGGTTTAGATTGAGACGAGGAACAATACCTTCACCAAAAGGGTTGTCAAGCTGCCCAAGTAAGTCACATTCCCTGGAGGTGTTTTAAAAAGGTGTAGATGAGGCATTTAGGGATTTGGTTTAGTGGTGCACTTGGCCGTGTTGGCTTAATGATCAGACTCGATAATCTTAAAGGTCTTTTCCAATGATTCTATGTTTTGACTTGTGTGGTCATTGGTGAGTCTGCTGTGAAGGGACAGAATGAGAGAATTGCCTGTTGTCCTGGGTTCAGAACACTGCTTTGACTAAAAACCATATCTGCCATCTTAACAACCTATGACACAGCAAGCCAACATTTGAATGGACATGTGGTGTTCACCACCTTGAAAAAACCCTGCATTTACTAATGAGTAGTATCCGTTTGGCAGTTCATAATCTGATGTAAGTGCTAACACCCAATTCTATAGCACGTGTCTCATACGTTCTGTGCCTTCAGATACCAAAAGTCCCCAAAAAATGTGTTCAGCTCATAGTTTGTTTTTGTGGAGATAGACAACAGACAGAGATGCTGTTAAAAGGCTAACATCAGTCCTTCTGATCAGTGAGAAACTCATGCTTGGTTAGTGGTTTAAACATGAATTATCTGGACCTTTTTAGATGAAACCCATTAATTCAGGACTTAAAATGTATATTGTGTATGTATATATGTACACACAGTCAAAACACATAATTCCACCACATTTTCCTAAATTTTAATAGGATTTAATTACTAAAGAGATAGAACTGTTTAAATTCTGGTACAAAATTTAACACAGCCTCTTGCAATAACTCTGCAGAAAGGGGACATGAGATGCTCTTGTATCTCCAGGCCACTCTACATTGCTGTACAGGTTTACTGGCTTGCAATTGCTTTCTGACTTCAGTCATTCTGAAATATTCTATCGATGAGGTGATGCAGACATACTTTTAGTTAACCACTGAGTGTTAACAAGGCTGTGCTGGTCTTGGCTGAATGTTGAAATTCAAGGGTTCAATCTAGAAATGAGGGACATGTTCTACTGTGAGGATGATCAATGACTGGATCACATTATACCTTCCAGATAGAATTATTGCTTTGTTAAATGTTAACATTAGACTGTAGAAAGCAAATAAACAAAACCCTACACATTTATTCAGTGCTACACTACCGACTGGGAGCAAAGCCAAGGGAAATTCTCTGGTCTGCTGTGCAGAAGCTATTGGGTTTTTTCCTTTTAGCTTCCCTCCTGCCATGCCCACCTTCTGTGAACAGAGAATAAGGGGATTTTGTGACTGAAGCACCAGGAGATATGCAAAAATATGTAGTGATAGATGATAAAGAAGACAGGCAGCTTTAAATACTTCTGGTGTCTGTGATGCTTTATTCCAATGTAGTTATTTAGATGTTTTTAGTTTGAGTAGCATAAGTCCATATGTATGGGCTGCATACAAATTCTTGTTAGACAAGAAGAATGGTATATTTCTTAAATTGTAGTTAGTGCTGCCTTTAAAAAATCTGCTGTTTACTTTGAGATGTGTCTTTTAAGAAGAATTGGTAACATTTAACAGAGCTATACCTGTTATTTGAGGTGAACGTACAATTAAATGTTCTTAATATCAACTCTGTAAATCTTGACCTCTACCATCTAGTTAAAGCTCTTTGTAGGACAGACATTACCGTTTTATATCAAACGAAGACAATGGAAGTATTGGAGTGAAACACTTCCAAATGCTGTGCTTTTCGTCTGTCGTCATTTGGATCTGGTCTGTAGCTGATGGAGAACAGATCTTCCTCTTAGATCTTGTTGGAACTGTTGCTGGTTTCCATGTGTTCCATTTGGGTAGATGTGAATGTCTGATGTTAAAAAACAGCAGCAGTTTGCATTCTGCACAAAATCTTAACAAAGAGGAAAGCAACAGCAACAACAAAAACAAACGAAAAACCAACCAAACAAAAATTCCCCCCAAAAACAGCCCAGAGAAGAAAGCCCCAAGACCTCAGTGTTGAAGCCATCTAAATTAGCCATTTGCTTTGAAAATGGGGTCAGGGGATGGTAAAATCAGAGCCAAGCCTACATGCTACCTAGAATTGGCAATCTGAGGTTCTTCATAACTGTGAAACTCTCAGAACTGTGAAACTGTCAGAACTGCTGTAAGAAGATTTTAGTTGTAGTGATATAAAACCAGAATCATTCCCTTAAAGTTAAAGGGATTATGCACATATAAATAGTTCTGATTTTTATGCCTTGTTCTCAATCACTTTGCTTGACCACACACAGTAGAAAATAGAATCTAAAGAAAATAGTGGTTGTGTGAAATGGCATGTCAGTCACAAAAGCTCCCACTAAGTATTTCTACAGGAAGAAGAGGCTAAATGCCAATCAGCATGTTCTGGAACACCCCATCTTCTGCCCAACATGTTGCTTTAGGGTTCAGAAAGTCTTTTTGGAAAATTCATTTGCAGATTTCCACCCTTCCTGGAGGTGCAGCAGAAACTCATCTAGGTGGCAAAGCTAGTCATTGTAGCTAGAAGGGAATAGTAATTCTGCCCTAGCTGTGCCAGCATAACATTATTGGGTGTGTTATGCTAGGAAAATGCAACTTCTTTCTGAAACAATTATACTCCATGCTATAACATATAACATAGGGAAGTTATATGAAATACAGAAATGCTTCTTCTGCCTTTGTTGTAAAACTTGAAGCAATTAATTTTGGCCAAGTGGTGAAATACAATTAATTGTCTGGCTAGCCTCGTAATACAAAACTCTGATAGACCTGTTGATAACGTGCTTGAAGTAAACCTGTGCAACAATGAAGCACCAATTCCATTGTTCTCTGTGATCACCAGAAAGTAGTATCTAACAACTGGCTGAGTCTAAAAGACACCTTCCAGTGGATTCCTTTAATGAGAATGTTAAACAAGAGCTGAAAAGCAGTTGAAAAGTACCCCAGAAACCTGTAAGTACAGCCTCGAGACTTGAGCCAATCATCCTTAGTGTACACGCACAAAGGTTTGCAAGTGGAGTACGGCTCATGTGATGTAAATTGCCCCTGGGGTGGTGTGTGGAGTCTGCCTTTTGGAGTTTGTCAGATGAATATGTACCTCTTGGCAGCTATCTCTGATTAGTCTTAACTGTGTGCCGATGACTGTTGCATGAATTAAACCTGCCTTGCTTCCAACAGATACTCAGTATAAAGATGATGGGATGAGGTGGATATGGGGAAAGTAGGTGACAGGTAGATTCCTGGGAAGTGGGATCATATTTCCAGTTGTCTTCCCAGTGGTTTGCCACTGCATTTTTCCTGCCCATATTTCAGTGTTTCACTACATTTGTTGTGTTTATGTGTGGAAACAGAGCTCTGTAACTTCTTTGAATGCATGTAAGAAATAGAATCCTAATTTTTCTCCCTAAATAATGACAGGATACCCTTGCTATGTGGAAACATGTGGTTCTACTGCTGCAGAATGAAGATTTGGTATTAAGAAATGCTTAGAGCCAAAAGTATTTCTCCTCTTATCACAAACTTGTTGCTAACTGTAAAGTGATCTCTTATAAACACATACCATGGAAAATATCAGCAAGTTATGGTGTTTGACACCCACCTCGCCTTATTTTGTTTTTACTGTTCTTGGTATAATCTGTGTACGGTTACATGGGTATGTAAAAAAGACAACATCAGTATTCAGCTTTATGGCTCTTGCTGTGATGAGTCGACTGCCACACAATTCCACATTCTGAAAGTTGTTTAATATCAGCTTTTGTCTAATATAATGTAGTGGAAGAAACTATTGAATCCCATGTCATTAATATAGCCTGATCACAGAGAGATAGGAATATGGAAAACAGTGTTCAACTTATTTATTTATTATTAGACCTTGAATTCCATTTAGATCCAGATCAACAAAGACGATCCTAAGCATATCCACAACGTGCTTTCAAGGATGTCGGCAGTTTTGTATGCATGTGCTAGTTTACTCAACTCTAATTTTAAAATAGCCACAAAACTTGCATACGCTTTAACTAATGAACCTGCTTTGAGAGTCTTTGCTGATGCATTCTTCCATATGTTGTGAATATGCTACCAAGCTCATCTCTCTCTGTTGGTCTATGCTACTCATTAATGCCTATACTTGTTTGCAGCCAGTTCACATTAGTTGGCCATATCCATGTGAAATTCTGCTGGACTGGAGCTAAAGCAGCTCTCTGGTGGGGTAAAAAAAAAAAAAAAAAAAACCAAAAAAAACCAGAAGAAAAGGCAGTAAATGTCTGTTTGCCACTACTGTAGATAGAAATAGCCTGGAATGTGCTCATGTGGCAGATGTGGTTTTGAGCTGGTACTATTTGGGCACAGTGCTATAATACAGGAGAAGTTAAAAGGAACCCAACACTGGCCTATGAGGGGCATCCTGAAATGCCTCGAGATGATACTTTCTCTGAAAATAATACAATGCTGCTTTTTCTCTCTGTCTCCTTGTATCTTTTCCCTTCTTCCTTGTAAACCTGTGCCAAAGAATATTGTCCTGTTACTGAATGAGGACTCTGTTCTACCAATTAATACTAAGGTCATGTCAGGGCTCACTGTTGTAACTTACCACTTGGTATAGCAGAAGTGGCCGTAATCAAGGAAATAACATCATAATTGCTTTTTATTTGCTACAATCCTAATTAGGACAGGGACTCCTTCCGTACCTATACTTATGTTAACTCTTAGTTACACTTGATAGTGCCTTCCTGTTCTTTCACTCGAAACTGCTTTTACTGAAATCAGCATCTTTTGTCTGTGACTGGCAAAGAACACTGCTTTTGGAAGGATGATAGAATCCACTTTCTTTCCGCCTCCATTTTACATTATTATGGTTCCTTTCTGTGATCTCTTTCCCCCCCACCCAGTAAATCCTTCAGATTTTTTGTGCTTTGCTTTCTAGCTTTTAGGGGAGCAGGATAAGGAGTTTGGCACATGAGGCTTTTGTTTATAACCAGATTAAAACAAGGTTTCCTCTGAATGTTGTTTGTTACTTCCATTTACCCCCTTTCTTTTTGTGTGCACATGACAGTCTGCAATAGTTTTGGGTTCGGGTTTAGGTATTGCATGGATCAGCAGTGCTCTCTCTCCTGGCAACTATTATGTTACATTCAGATATCTACTTGTTTTTTCTCAGTTTTCATGCCATGAAAGTCTGCTCTTTCATCACAGCACTGATTTAAAATATCTAAGCTGATACCCTGAAGTTCATTACGAGCCATACAACAGCTCTCTTTAAATATTTTATTTGATAACAAATTGCTGGTTATCTTACATTGACTGACTTTTCATTTCCATTATATGATGACAATAAGGATAGTGGCCCAGCAGTTTTATCATGAGATCAGAAATAAGGATGACTCAAGATTAGAAAGAGGAATGGATGTTTAAAAACCCATTTTCCTATGTATTTTTTCTGTAAATTCTGTAATTTTTTCAGTTCCATTTCATTGCCATTACCACTCGCTAAAGTGAGGCAGTAAACAGGCTACAATTTCAGCTTCATTTGTGCATCAAAAATGTTGATGTCCTAGTAGCAGTTACATTTCCAGAAATAGGTTACTGTGTGTTTCACCTTTTCCTGCTGTTAATTTTCTGTACCGAGTGGGAATGCTGCTCCCAAAATCTGGAGCACTGGATTTGCCAGCAATTTTGGACTGGACTACTCCCAGAATCCCAAGCACTGGACCTGCCAGCAATTTTGACACTAGTGTAACTATATCCACTCTTCACAAAATTCTCTTTCTTGCTGTGTACACAGTGTCTAAGGTAGGAGGATGTAGCTGCCTACAGAAGAACTGTATTGCTGGCATTGGGAATCAACTGAAGTGTTTCATTTATATGTGAGATCCAACGGAATCCCTGATTATAGCCTGATAACTGCCTCTGCTCTTCATGAATGATACCAGCTGACATCTGTGAAAGAATAGAGTATGAAAGGGTATATAGTTGTATGTAACAGCTGGACGAAGACTCAATTTGAATTCTGCCTCAGCAGAGTAAGATGTGTGAACTTGGACTGTTGTTGGTAATAACAAGTTGTTTGCATAGATTGTTCATATAGTTGTTATAGGACATTTTTCCTTTGCATATGTATTGCTTGAATAACAGTACAAATGTGAAGCAGTATGACGGTGTCAAATAGGTATTCTCAGGTCACTTATAGATTGTGACACTGGAGGCAAATGATCCCATCTATTAGTGTGATTTCATTTCCAGAAACAGCTCCTATCTTGTGTAATTCTTTCAAATGTTATGTGAGCATCTGGAAGAAAATATTAACTTGGTTTTTGCTATTCCCTTACTGCTTTTAGTGAGGGCAAACTCCCCAGTTTCCTGGGGGAATCCATGCAGTTTTCACTCACTCAGATTATGACAGCAGTAACCTTGCACAGTCTGAAATGCAGGGTAACAAATGTGACACAAGAACTGTGTGAAAATTGCAACCCCCATTCTCATTTAAAAGGAGAAAAGCTCAAAAGACCAAACACTGACCCACAGCAGGGCTTCTGTCCTCACTCTGTCCTACTCTTCACCCCCAGGAGAACCCCTACAAAATATACTATTGGTAATATAAGGCAAAGGCTCCTACTGTTACCAGTAACATTCATTTTTATATTCTTAATTCATGCAGAGAAGCTTAATTAAATTGTGTAGTATGTGTAAAATCTCAGGGTTAGAAGGGGAAGCTTCTGGGGTTGGCTGGCTCAGTCATTTTCTGAGCAGAGCAGGTCAGACAGAATTCTCTCTCACTATGAAGGAGAAAACCCCTTGTCTTCCTTGCTAAAAATACCAACTTAACAGATAGTTAAGGTTTTCCTAATAACTTGAACAAAGTAAACCCCATCTGTAACTCGAGGTATTGTATGGTACACTTTGTTGTTGTTTCCTCATGCGTTGAGATGCAAACTTTTGGGGGATTGTTTTACTCCTTTTAGTATGAAGGAGGGTACCGGAATTATTGTATTAGGTGTAAAGGTAAAATAGCTGCTTTGAAATCTAATTTAAATTAGTGATCCATGGCTGTGTAAAGTCTAGACCTATTCACAGCAGCATTTCTTATCCAAGAGGGTTATTCCCTACAAGAAAGATCATTTAGGTCAGGGAAATAGGAGTTTTCTTTTGCTTCTGATGGTCACTTTACTGAATATCCTGAAAAATGAACTCATTGCTAGAACAAAAACTGTGTTGTCATTTTCCTCCATGGCTTTTTTTATCTAGAGAAGGGTTACCTTAAGGTATGAGCTTGTCAGTATTAGCAAAGTTTGAATAAACTATTTTTTACTATTATAGCTGAGCCAGTGCAATTCTATACAATTCTATGTTAAAAAATACCTTGGTCAGCTTAACCTTAAGCTTAACTAATCTGAATCAAGCTTAGATAAGCAATTAGATTTGGGAAATTGAGTAAGTCTTTTAAAAGTGCCTGAATGATTTAGCAGCTTTAGATGTTCTTCTTGAATGTAATTTAGGCCCTTCAGGAGCCTTCTGCTCCATTTATTGTGAAATAGCAGTATTGGATAGGGATGCTCAGGCACTGGAAGCTGTGTGACTGCAGCTGCTGTGGAGCTTTGCTCAACGCAAGTCAGGTAAATGGCCCGCTCTGAACACCACCATCCTGGGGCGTGCTGTAAACATCATTGAAAATCAGTTCAAAGCTGCTGTTGTTAGTTCCCTTAGTTCTTGAGTAACTGTGAGAATAAGATTTGGGCTGTAAATGATGGAGCCATTACTGCTGATTTGATCCACTGGCCAAACCTTCAGGTATATTAACCCTATTCCTGCTGTTTCTGTTTCAAATGCTTAGGAAAATAAGCAATAGACAGTGCTCTTGTGCCAGGAGTTTCTGAACAAAAGAAAGTGAAAAGCTCTCTTGATGGTTGTTCACTTCCCACTTTTTGGTTTGCCAGCAAAAAATCCCATTATTAGCTGACTGACTCCCCCTTCTGAAGGACATCCTCTTGGGAAAAGGGTGGCACTGTTCTACAGAGCAGATCTGGCTGAGATTCTTGTGGAAATCTTCATTGCTGAGTATTGACCTGTGTTTTAGTGGCCCATAAAATCTCACCCCTATCTTACTGTATCAGACTAAATACATTTAGGTGCCTTTTAGCAACTTTTATTTTGCTTATTGACTACAGAGTATGAATCAGAGCAAAAGGGAGAAGTTAAAGCATGGGGGAAGGGAATGCAGGAGAAAAAATATCATTTAATTAGATTAAAGAATTAAAACATTTTCCAGGTGACTTGGAATTCCTTTCTAGACTTCAGCATTTCTCTGAGTAGAACCTTTCTCTGTGAACCACACTGTCTTATTGGCATGAACAAAAGATGAGCTAATTCTTTCTTGTGCCTCTATTTGTTCACACATCTTGAGTATAAAAGGTAAAATGGAAATAAACTTTATCACAAATTGAGAGTAGGTGTCTTTCTATCATGAAGGTGTGTGCAAGAAGGCTTAGTTATTTTTTTTTGGGGGGTGGAGGGTGTAAATAAGCCTTACCAGGGGCAGCAAAGGAGAAGAAAGAAGTTGAGAAGATCACAAGATCTTAACATTTGTAAGAGATGAGAAGAAATCCTACTCAGATTTATGTTTCTTGTTTCTATCCTCTAAAAATCTTCCTCAGTGAACCTAAAGCTGTACAGAAATTTTCATACGTATGTGCTGTAGACAACCTACTAAATCACTTGAGTGGAAGATAAGAGATAATGTGTGATGCTAATGCAGCACCATGGTCTGGCACTCATCATCAACACCACAGGTGCTAGCAGTAGATCATTGGTGACTGGTGTGATGCCAAAGCTTGCATCCCAAATGTCCTTTACAGCTGATCCATGAAGTATTTCAGGACATGTGACTTGGATTTGATCTGGTCCGGTTGCTAAGTGAAGCAGTTAAGAGCTGGGCAAACCTAAAATGCTAAAAATACCTTTGTCATTGATTTTGTTCAGCTGCATGCTAACAGCATCCCACATATTGCCTGGGAAACAGTAAAGGAAGATAATTAACTGTTGCCTCAAGTGCTTGTTGTCATTTGAAACTCTGTCTTCAAATTATTCCTTAAAGTACATGCAAACTTCGGCTGCACCAAAAGGAGTTTTTCTTCCACATGTTTACCATTGGGTAAATAAGTTAAATAGACTTCTTAAAATTCTTCAGCATGTTGAGTTAACCCTTCTTTCCCCACACCTTTGGTAAGTAAACTTTGTAATTTAACTTACAAAGTGCTAAGTCAGTGCTGTGGGTTTGGAAATGGAAAATAACTCGGGGTTAGGACCTGCGCACCATTGCTGTGTGCAATACACAGGTGCTCAAGAGTTAAGTCACTTTGAGTCTCTTGATGAAGCATACAAAGAGATGCTAACAAGCTATTCAGAATCTCCTTTTTATATGACTATTGTGTTCGTCCTCTCACCAAACTTGGGGACAGGTTCACCACTTTATGCTCTACTCCTGTGGTGCTCTGCTTCTAGTGGGGCAAATGAGAGGGCTGCGGTAAGGCTACTCTGATGTGGTGATCAGAGATTACTCTGATCCTGGACAAAGATTAATGTGTAGGGTTCAACTTCCCTCATGCACTGGATGACTTGACCTGGTGTTCAGGTTAGGCTAATAGACCTCTGAGGCTCCAGACATCTCTTTTAGTTGTGGGGTTTAAAACCAGTTCTGGCAGCTGCCTGACTTCAAAGAATAAGTGGTAATTACCTGTACATAAACAAGGGAACTGCATGAATACAAACTGGTTTGAAGAGACGTTGACTGGAGTCTGTGGCAGGTTCATAGGTGATAGATTTCTTTTTCTTGATTTAAGTCAGACTCATGCGTTTTCTTCTCTATTCTGAAATTAGAGTTTCTTCTCTACTTAGAGGTTTTGATGGAGGGGCTGCAAAAAGGAGAAAGTCAGAACTTGTCTGTAGAAAGAGCTGAAACTGCTGTCTGGAGCTCTTCCACTAGCCAACCTGAAAATGGAGCTTGGTTTACAGTGCTGTGGATAGTTACAGCTGCATACAGAAGACTGAACATCTTCATTCTAGATACAAGACATTAACTGCTATGGTGGGGAAAGTTGAGAGCTTCCTACAACTGGATCAACTTCAGGTCTGTCCTACTTCCCTGCATATGAAACAACAGCAAAGAGCATTGGAAAGAGTATTTAAAAAGTATTTATAGCCATCCATTATTTTCAACCTACCTTGAGGTCTTATAACTTTGGATTTTGTTGGTCAGAAAAATCTCCCAGTCAGATCTTGTGCTATGCCACGTGTGCTTGGGAATGGTCCAGAACTTCTCACAGCATCATCTGGGTTACTAATGGAAAACTGCTGATCATGGTAGCCAAAATATGTTTATGTTCCTTTTGTTGGGGACAAGTGGAAAGAAGGTTAATGAATTTTTTTCTCTGGGATCAGCTCCAGGATTTCCTCTGCCTGGTAACCTCAGTCTTCTTGATATCTGCATTCTAGTAACTAAATGCACAGCTCACTAAGCAGAACTGGATTTCTAAGCCTGCTATGAAAGGAGTCTTTTGAGATGAATATTTAGATTTAAATGGGAGGTGGCATTTATCCAAATGGCCTTTAAGCAGTGGAAAATAGAAAAGGCACAAAGATGAGAACCCTTCCAGGCAGAAGTAGAAGAGAGTATGATAAAGATGATACAGTCAAAAGGAGAAAACAAACCCCACAGCAGAGCAGAGCTGCGCCTGTTGCCAAATGAGATTATTTTCTACAAATTACATTTATTTTCAAAAGATTGTGCATGGAGTCTCTGTAATAACCTATGTTAAAAGCAATGCTTCTTGCAGCCTCAGTGAAGAGGTCTAACGTAGTGGCAGCAGTTTGCGCTTACAAAAACGGTTTAGGACTTTGTGTTCAGAGGCACTGTGAGGTGATGACATTTCTTTGATTATATTAGATGAGGCATGTTGAGAACAGGAGGAAAGGTCAAATAGCTGCATGAGTATTCGGAGTCCTCTGAAGCAGGTCCTAGCAAGGGAGGCAGTGGGTGTGCTGCCGAGAATGACTAGAATACTCCACCATGAAATGCACTGGATGATACTGAAAAGTACCCTAAGCCATGGAAGTCGTAAGCCATCAGTGATAATGTCCTTATGTTATCTGTAATTGTAGGATCATAAGAAGAGTAGGGTTCACAGAGAAGAAGGGCAGCATTCACCTTAAAATGTGAACTGTTCAACCTTCTGCTTATGGGATCATACCTCTGGCTGTCTCTTTTGTTCCCTGTCGGTGGAGAATACTTCCTTACGCACATGCACTGACACATGGTAGAGATTATGAAATATTTACTGTGGCTAGAACCTATAATTTGGGGGTTTTTACATCTGCTGTAAAAGTTCTAAGAAACTAACAATTACAGGTCAGTTGCAAGGATGAAAGAACTGAGGTCTAGGAGTACAAATGATTTCCTCTGGTCTTTCTGCTAGGATAAATTCAGGGCTGTTTCAGTGGCAGATTTGACCTATTGCCTAGTTGTATCGTATAATTTTGCTAATAGGTATATTCAGGGTCTTACTAATAGTATTTCTTTTGTATCTGATGTTCTAATTACATGCCCTAAATATATCTCCTATTAGCATGAAAACTTTTGTAAAATCTGATAGGGAAGTAATCGGGGTCTTTTAGGTTACATTTGTAATACGATTATTTAATGGTGACTCTTGACTAACGTTTACAGAGAAAAAGTTGCCTGAAAACATAGAAAATGGGCTCAAAAAAGAGTTCAGAAAACTCTTTGGTAACTACTATCAATGAATACATTGACTCCCCTTTTTGTCTTTCTGATGCTAGTTCTTTTCTTTTTAGTCACAAAGTAGCACATAGGAAGGCTGTTTGCTACCCACAGCTTACCTACTAAACTGGGAGTCCTTGGGTCTGAGTGAAATATTAATGAAGAACAATTTTCTTGGAGCCAAAGTGAATTCACACCCTCCTGCAGGTTTTTTTTTTTATGCAGCTTCCTAAGCTGATGAAACCAGTTTTTCTGATATATGCTGTAAAAGTGTTGTCCCCTAGAAAAAGTAAAGAGCAGTGTTAATTATCATGGAAAAAACAGTTTGCAAGCCAGGCCAGTAAACTATGCACAATCAGCCTCTACAGGTGTAAATGAAGCCTGAAGGACTGATCCCATTCATCTGAAGAGAGCTATTTTGTGTTTTCTGAGAATGAGCTGGAAGTGCAGAAGAGCCAGTGCTTTGGAACAACAGTTCTCTGTTCACAAGAGTGTGAAAGAATGTCAAGGAATGCCATGTGAAAATTGTCTTAGCCACCCTACATGTACTAGTTTTTACAGCTAGGTCATGAAGAGTTGCTGTGGGTTTCTGTTGTTTTGGATTCTCAATGGCATTCTGCACTCCTAATTATGGGCATGCTACGAATCAATAAAAGTATTCAGCTTTTTAATCATATCTAGACTTCTGAAATAGGATTTAAACAGATCTAGTTAGAGACGTAATAGAGGTTCCATTATAGATGAAGATTGCAGGACCTGGCTTACAATCTGTATGACATTTTGCAACTGTATTCTGCTCTTGTTATACCAAGGTTTAAATATATTATTTGAATAAATGGGCTCCAATTTCATTGGTTAAAAAAAAATGAAATGAAACCTGCAGTAACACTGTTGTAACTTATCCTTCATCCAGCTGGACACAAATTGTACCTTTTTGCTGAGCAGTTGCTGCAGTTCTCTAGTTTTATTACTATTGCTCCTTCTGTTTCAAAGGTAAAGCTGTCCCGAGAGATTTTTTCTTGAAAGACCAATGACTACAGACCTGAGAAATTTAATAGAAGGGATAGTTATTAAAATACATACTTTTCAGCAACATAGTGTTGTAAAATAGTCAGCCAAATAAATTTCATTAGTTGATGTTTAATGACTAGAGTTTGGGAAAAGGGAATTGGGGAAGGAAAAACAGTGGAGGGAGTTGCATACAATTTAAAAACAAATAATTGCTTTTTATAGGGAACTCACTTTCTCAGAACATCTGACCAGGAGCTAAACACACTTGAAAAGTGAGCTACAGAAGTTGATGGTAACTTTATGATCATTCATTACCTGGCACAGATGAAAGCTGGAACAAACAGGGTGCTATTCTAACTGGGACTGTGCACAAAAAAAACTTGAGTTACCCATAACCTTTAACTGCTTCTCTCCTCAGATTGCTTAAGATGCAAAAGTCCAAATAGATAGGGCCTGGCATCTCTGATGGTCTTGGTATTCTGAATATCAGCTTCATGTACAGTGTAGTCAAGTACTGTATTGTAGTTAGATAGCCTAGGGTGGGCACACACAGACACACGTGGCATTCTTTATAAAGGCTATGCTGGGATACCTGCCAAGAGCGCCTGAGGGGCATTTCCATACTCTTTACTATCGCATAGCCCTGAATGCACAAAGCTTTAACAATCTGTCTCAGTGTTGCAGACAGCTGCTTTATAAACTGGTCATATTGAAGATAAACAGATGAAATGTTAACTGAAAAATCTGGATCATACATAGCAAGAATACAAAAATGTATGCTAACAAGTGCATGTATAATGCTATGGGAAATAATAAATTTACCTTGTAAATGTTTGGTTATGGAAAACTAATCAATATCTGTAAAGAATGAAAGTATCTGTGTTTCAGCAGCAGAGACTGAACAGATTATCAATAGTGCAAATTTCCTCTTGTTCTGCCCTTTGCATCATAAGATATCACCTGTGCAAGAATGATACTGAAAACCCATGCAGACCCCTATGCAGATTACATGTCCCATGCAAGGCCCACACCCACCTCAAGGTGTGCTGGTAGGCTATTGATACTGACTGGCAATGTCACCTTGCGCTGACTGGTGTTTCACCAAGAATGAGGAGATGTTGCAAGCAGGTTTTTGCACACAGAATTTCATTTGTATGGGTGGGAGTGAGGTAGGGAATATATATGCCTTTTCAAAGTAACTTAAACCACCAGTTTCTTTTCACATAAGTCAACACTCAGCATTTTTAATGATCAAGATAATACCTACCTGTGCCAGACTCTAAGAGGCACTCCAGAATGAGGGGGGGTTGGAATTAGATGAACTTAAGGTTCTTTCCAACCCTAACTATTCTATTCTATGATTCTGTGAAAGGTGGTGTTATATTACCGATTCCCTGAGCCATAGTCTTCCCACTGATTTGGTTGCTTTAATTCATGGTGTGTTGATGGTGGGGGTAGGAAGCAGTTGTGGGATACAATGGGCTCTACTTCAAAACCTAAGATGTGTAAGACTCAACATCTTTTTTACCCTATAATCAGTTCCAAATGAGCTCTTACAAGAGGAACTTGGAATTGGCTTGGTTGGACAAATCGATTTCTCATGCATGAGAAAGTCAAGCTAAACATCCTTGGGAAGCCTAGAAGTTTAGATGTTGAGAATTAGGCTTTCTATAAAGGGCTTTTGATATGTTAGATTTAGAGCAAGACTGTTGAAATTACCTTAAGGAGCAGATTATTTATGGCAGTTGCTTACGGTACCAGTGAAATGCCACTTTTGCCTGCGTTTAATTTTCTTCCCTCACACAGCCTGTGCTGTGTTTATGATCACCTTGTCATTCGAGCAGTGGAAAATGGTTTTATAAATAATTCCCACAGGTGAGATGAAAGTGTTAACAGAAATACTTTAGTGAAGGTCTTGATTAACTTACACACTTGGCTTGATCACGGTGGAGGTTAGGCTTACAATGTCTTGCTACCAGGACTAATAAAACCCATTCGTTTTTTCACGTACAATGTTAATTACCCTTTTACTTCATGTGAGACACGCGAGCTGATTTCATATTTGTGTTGAAGACCACAATTACACTTTGTAGACTTCTTGCTGTACTTACAAATTCAGTCCCAAACAAAACCAACCTTCCCTAATTCCAGAATACTAATACTAGGACTTCAAGACTGTAGATTGCTACACTTAGGTGCTCAGCTTAACCCACTCTTGCTATAAACAGCAGAAGATAGTACTTACTGAAAGCTGTCTGGTTAGCGTGCATGCATTAAAAAGGACAAATAAGAATTAAATTGTGAGAATATCTTTCCTCTTTAATTCAAATTCCCCAAATGTAAATTATTCAAGTAAATAACCACATAGCATCCCATATTCCATCACCACCACCACCTCTCAGAAGCATCAGGAAAACAGGTATGTGCTATGTTATCTGAAGTCTAGTAGCATTAAAATCAAATAAACTGCTAATGAACAAGTCAAGGGTCATTTGGAAAAGATGTTCCCAATACTGATTTCCTTCTTCTGCTGCATAGATAGTTTTAATTGGGCAAGATTGTACTGAGATGGGAAATAGACTCTTGAGTTACCAAAGTACAGAGGACTTGATTCTTTGTAGCCAATGGCTTCATGGTACCCTAATGCAAGGCTGGCATGGACCTTGGGCTGAAAATACAGTGGAGTGTAAGGAGAGCCTAGGAATAAAGGGATCTCACATGAAATAGTACTTATATATTCTAACTGAATTCTATTTCTGTATGTTATTGTCTGTAGAATAACACATCAGTGACTTCAAATTCATAGAAGTAGTAGAGGCAATACAGGCAGCCATTCCTTGTTAGCTGCTGCCTTTGCAATGTGTCTTCATTTCTGGCATGACCATCTGTGTGACACTGTGGGAGGCTGTCACAGTGTAAAGGTAAATACTCAAAGTTAGAGGATTTTACCTGAATCTCACAGTTAGGGGTGAAAGGTCAGCTAGTGCCATCCATGGCAAGGTGAAGTAGAACATGGCCTTCATTAAGCAAACTCAGTTGAATCATGAAGATGGGAAAATGTTACAGACAGAAAGAGCCTTTATGTTAAAGACATATGTCTATGTTAAAGACATAGGCCAATGTGGAGTGTGACTTCAAATGGCATTATTTATTTAATATTAATTAATATTTATATAAGAAAAGGAAAAGGAAAAAGGTTCCCTGAGCAGTGAAATGAAGGGAGCTTAGGGTTTGTTTTTTCTTTTTTTTTTTTTTTTATTTGGTTTTCCCCAAGGATTTGTTTTACAGATAAGTAGATTTTCTCAAGTCTTAAAACGGAAGTTTCAGCCTTTCACTAGGCAGCACAGCAACAGGGTCTCTTTTCTTTACCCAGCTGGCTAGTGTCATAGAACAAGACTTAATATTTTGGATTATTTTATCCTCTTTGTCGGCCTCGATTGAAATTGTACAGCTGTTTCGCAGGTTGCGGTGGGAAACATTTGGACAGAAACATGCCTACTGATTTCCTCAGTTTGTTAAAATTAGGACAAAAATCCCTTTGATGTTGTTTATTCTTGTATATCGCCAGTCTTACTGAATAAAGTATACCAGAGCTGTTACACTGTTCTGTACAGTGCTCTTTCATCTCTACCTGCCCTCCTACTTGAGCCTCTAATTCTTGCACCTTTTCAACAAATCTTGAATTTACTCCTGTAACTTACTGCCTTCTGATTTTCTGTATCTATCTTCTCCTTATCATTCGTTTTGCAAATTAAATTAATTATGTACACTGTATATTTTTATAAGGAGGGTTGATGATCTGTTGTTAGGGTTGCCTCACACTTGTCATTATAAAATCCTGGTTTTCAGCTACTGGTGTTCATCTTTACTAGTTGGTACTGAGGTTTTTTCATAATGTGAAGTTTTGTATTGTGTTTTTTCTTCTTTTCTTCCTTTATTTTTATATAGATATTATTTTTTTTTACTTGGATTTTTTACATGATCCTACATAGGAAATTAGGGGGAAATCTGTAGGGGTAAATTATCTCTACATAGGCTACCAAAAAAACCCTTGAAGACCTTCTCTTTGAATGCTGTTATAGATGTACGTTTTGGAGAAAGATATTTTTGTTAAAAATATGTACAAATGTGTCTGAGAAATAGGACTATAAAATGCTATACTTATACATTGCCATCTTCCCCCCTGCACTCTTTTTCACATTAAGAATATTTGTAAGATTCCAAATGTTAGGAAATGCAACCTTAATTTAACCTTGTTGTGCTGCACAT